TGTGCTTGTACCGAATGTACGTTCAAATTTAAGAAGCTGAAAAGTTGGTACATTTCAGCATAGTTTTACATCACTATTTCGCACCACTTGTTCGCTTCTTCTTCAAAATTTTTCTTTAGACTGCTTTTACACAGTTCAAGTATTGAATTCAATTCTGCTCGCATGTGGAAGAGAGGGGGTGAGAAGAAAAGGGACGAGTACACATGCGTCTGTACCGTCAAGTCGTTTCAACTTTCTTGCTTTGCTTTTGCCATTTTCGTTGCTTCCCATTTAAACAACCAAAAACTTGAATTCAACAGAATTGAAACGTGTAAAAGCAAATAGAAAACACAAAAGAGAATGAGCAAGAATTGCTTTCAAGTACTTGAATCATGTAAATCGGGTGTTACACTCTCATTCTGATAATAATAGGTTTGTTCCACACGAGTCCGCGGGTACCCACGGGTGCCCAAAGCTGCCCAGAAAGCGTTCCTCACGCTCGAAAAATGGGTAATAGAGAGCGAATACGTTCCACTTTTGGATCGTAAATATCTTCTTCTTTGTGCACGAAACAGCCCTGACTTTTTTTCCGGGCACAAATGTGCAAAAGGGCAATTTGAAATAACTGCTGTTGTTGTTTAAATCCGAAAGCAAATTTTATAAAAACAAAAGTGGAAAATATCACAGAATTTTCAGAAGATGTAGTTATTTGGTAATTTTATTAGCCATATAAGATGAATACACGTAAATCATTGTTTAGAGCTGATATGTTGATTCCGGGCACGAAATGTGGTTTTTTGCGTTCCTCACGCTCTGGGCACTTTTGGCACGTGTTGGCACATTTTTGACACTTGTGAGAGAGTAACTTATTTACTTATTTTTACTCTCTAATTACCGGAACAGCCCGGAAAGCGAGGGGAACGAAGCTAAAGTGACGTCACACCCAGTTGCTCTCAGCTCGATTGGCGCCATCTTGCATTATATCATTTAGTCTGTTCCTTTGAACTTCGGACTAAAACCTGTGGAACTGTCAAACTACAATTTTACGCTCTCAAATGAGAATAAAAGGAGAACAGATGCAGAAGTGCATAGGAACGCAAAAAGCACTATTTCCTGTAAAAACGTCAGACTGTTTGTTTACATGTCATTGGTACTACACTGATTTGGCTGAAATATCACTAAATAATTATTAAAATCTATACATATTCAAAAATTTCGTTGTTTACTTCCATTTTTTAATAAATATAAGGTTCTTTGCTTTCATCGCTTTCTGTTTTTGTTTGCACATGTAAATCAGCTGATCGTTTGACACTTTTCATGAACTTACAGGAAAAAAAACTCCGGACTAAATACTGTAACTTCTGACTATTAGTCTGTTCCAATAGCAGTCCGGTTTACAGGATTTAGTCAGAACTTACAGGAAGTCGTTCCTATTGACATAAAACCTGTAAGTGGGAACACTTTTGAGAGAGTAACTGAGCAACTGTTCCAAGTCAGAAGTTACAGGATTTAGTCCGGAGTTTCTTTTACTGTAAGTTTATGAAAAGTGTCAAACGATCAGCTGATTTGCATGTGCAAGCAAAAACTAACAGCGGTGAAAGCAAAGTACCTTATATTTGTAAAAAAAATGGAAGTAAACAACGAAATGTTTGAATATGTATAGATTTTAATAATTATTTAGTGATATTTCAGCTAAATCAGTGTTGTACAAATGACATGTAAACAAACCGACTGACGTTTTTACAGGAAATAGTGATTTTTGCGTTCCTATGCACTTCTGCATCTGTTCTCCTTTTACTCTCATTTGAGAGAGTAAAATTGTAGTTTGACAGTTCCACAGGTTTTAGTCCGAAGTTCAAAGGAACAGACTATATGAACAGTTGCTCAGTTACTCTCTCAAATGTGTTCCCACTTACATGTTTTATGTCAATAGGAACGACTTCCTGTAAGTTCTGACTAAATCCTGTAAACCGGACTGCTATTGGAACAGACTAATTCTTGAGTAAACTTGACGTTACCCAGTGTTGCAAACTGTTTGTAGTACAATAAAATTCATTTAACGCCGTAGAAAGACATTATGCTAGTGAGCACAGGATTTACCGGATGGAATTGGAGAACCGCTACCAAAAAGCCAAGGTTGCTAGGTTCTGAAATGGAGTAAGCAGTACATTTATATTTTCGATAGAAAAAAAGCAGTACAAACAAAAAAAGGCAATTTTTTTTTTAAATTTTTTGCAGAATTTATTGTTACAAATTAACAAAAACTAAATATAAATGTAATCACATATTTGAGATCGTTTTCATTAATTAGGTACAAACAAACAAAGATATCTTAGGTATCTTTTTCAAGGCAACAATTAATGTAAAACATAAATATCTAAATTACACAGTGGAGTTCCAGACTCTTCCTGAATGTGTGGTAATTTTTTTTTAATTAAGCCTATAATTAATTTAATATTTTTCTGATTTTTTATAATGGATATGATATCTTTGCCAGTTTCTGTTTTCATCTAATATATAAAAATCTCGTGTCAGGTTGTTTGTGGTCGAACTTCTTCTAAACGGCTCGACCGATCATTATGCAATTTTTCGTGTACATTCCATACAAACTGAATTTTTCATATTGTATATCTCTGAAAGTGTTCACGGTAGAGAACTCGAACATTGTATGGAGATACATATATGAAAACAGTCGCATACTCATGGAGAAAAATTGTGGTTATTGGAAAAGGGGGCGTGGCTCCTCCCATCCAAACCGAATTTTTTAATTTTTCATATCTCTGGAAGTGTTCATGGTAGAGCATGGTATGGAGATATATGAAAATAATCGCATACTGATGGAGAAAATTGCCGTGGGCGTGGCACCTCCCATACAAGCCAAATTTTTCATAGTGTATATCTCTGGAAGTGCTCATGGTAGAGTACTGGAACTTGGTATGGAGATAAATGAAATAAATCACATGGTCGTGACGAAAAATTGGGGCTATTAAAAAAGGGGCGTGGCACCTCCCATACAAACCGAATGTTTCATACTGCATATCCCGGAAAAAGTTCATGGAAGAGGACTCGAGCATGGTATGGAGATATATGAAATCAATCGCATATTCGTGTAGAAAAATTGTTCAGCTATTGGAAAAAGGGGAGTGGCACCTCTGCATATCTCTGGAAGTGTTCATGGTAGAGTACTCGAACATGGTATGGAGATATATGAAATCAATCCCATACTCTTAGAGAAAATTGGGGCTATTTGAAAAGGGGGCGTGGCGCTTTTCAAACGCACTGAAACTATTACGTATGTGTCTTTGTGTGCAAACACACTTTTGCTAGAGAGACCATTACCTGGAGGGAAGTGGCAGACTGGAGAGGACACCCAAGTGTTAGGAGAGGTACCATGCGAAGTGATAACAGTGGCACGGCTATACTCAATCCAGACTCTTGCGTCCTCGTTCGCGCACTCTGGGCACCCATGCACGGGATGCGGTAAGAGAGGGAGCTTCGGTGGGGCCATTCCGACTTATTTGGTTTAAGGCCTCACTGAAGTCTTCAGCGTCTGTTCACCACTAGGTGCGGCTGCAAGAGGGCGCCAGTCTTGGAGCAAGCGGCTGGATATATAAACAGGTTCGGTCCATAAACCACCCCCTCACAGCAATGTATTGTAAGCTAGTTTCCAGGCCCGCCACGTCAAAACCACTACTATTTGAGGGCATGAACATGCAATGTCCGGAGTCCGAACCCTTAAAGGGGAAGGTGCCTCTGCCAGGAAGGTGGATGTCCTCTTAAATACAAATGCTGGCATCACCGCCATCCAAGAAATGCGATGGATGGGGCAAGGCAGGAAACGAGTGGGGCCTTGCGACGTCTACTACAGCTGCGGAGCGCAAATTCGGTGTTAGATTTGTGGTGGGAGAGAGACTCCACCGCAGAGTACTGTCATTCACCTCGGTGGGCGAACGTCTCGCCACAATCTGTATCCAAGCATGGTTCTGCAACATTTCGCTCATTTGCGCCTACGCCAGACATGATATTAAACTCGTGCTTAGCGACTTCAATTTCCCTATCTTTGAACCCATCGTCAGAAAATTCAGCCTCCATGACGAAACGTCCGATAACAGACTGAGGCTGACCGTCTTCGCCGGGGCCTCAAACATGGCAGTATGCAGAAATAGTTTCAAGCATAAAAAGATCCATCTAGCTACGTGGCTGTCTCCAGATCGAAAAACGAGAAACTAAATCGATCATGTTGTGATAGGCGGAAGCCACGCTTCCAGTGTTTTAGACGTACGTACATTCCGAGGCCCAAATATAGACTCGGACTACTTTATTGTTGCAGCCAAGATACGCACTCGCCAAAGTGCAGCAAATGAACGTCCAACAAATCAACAAATGCGAGCAGTGGGGCCACATTACCCACTCATAATACACCACCGCCGAGCAAGTAGTCGGATTTCAGCGAGCCCAAAATAACTACTGGTACGATGAGGGATGTCACGAAGTTGCAAAGAAAAAAGATATCGCCTACAGACCACGCCGGGACCGATAGAGGGAGCTGAAGAGGGAAGCCGAACGTATTATGCTGCAATAAAAATAGAGAGAGCCCGAAATACGGGAGTGTGGGCAGCTTGAAATGTTGGCCGACAGGAAAAATACCTCTAAGATTTTACCGAGTGTTAGACGACTTACGGAAGGTTCCAAGACTGGGGCGAGCAGAAATGGCGACCTAGTGATCGATGTAAAAAACGTACTTAAATTATGTAGGAAACACTTTTCCACCTTATTGAAAGGCATCAGCGCTTAAAGTAACGGAGAAGACGAACCTGAGCCCCCAGTCGGGACGGAGTGATCGGGCCTTATCAGTGTGGCTTCAGACCAGCTATTCGCGTTACGCCAAATCTTGGAAAAAACCGGAGAGAAACAAGCACATTTCGTAAAATAATTCAAATAGGGCCATGGCATTACACATATGTATGTATATATAATTTTTTTTTGATAATTAGATACGTTTCTTCGCCAAAACAGTGCGAGATTCCTTTCCCTCTCATTGTCAAATTAGATACGTCCTCATTGCACACGATTACGCTCAACTTGCCCCATCACATAAACCTTTCTGCTCACTTCCAGCATTCCAGCATCCCTTGCTTCACCGTTCTTGTGTGGCATTGCGTAACGCAGCTTCGACCAAAACCATGGATGATCCTCCCACACTAAATACGTGTTCATATCCAAATACGCCTTCAGCTCTCTATCCAATAGCTCAGTATTTGTAATTTCACCATATTTAATAATAATTATGCGCAAACGTCCTTCATTCAGCGAACATTGATGTGCGGTGCGAAATTCCATGCGTCCCCAATCCGATTCGATGAAGTGCTGAGACAGCACAATGATCGTGCGCCGCGATTGTGCCACCGACTCCACAATTTGTTCGGTTATGTAGGCGCCACCAACCCAATTGCGTTCGTGTGTGCAAATGCGATACTTTGGATTGCCTTTTTCGAGTTTAGGCAGCAGTGTTTGATTGACAAAATATTCCTCCTGATGTGCGTACGAGATGAAGGCATCAAAAGTTTTCTCCTTGTCCAGTTCACGTTCATTGATAAAATAGATGCACATTTTTTGGCTGTACAGCCAAACTTTCACTTGTAATTGATATTTGTAGTAAAGCGTAATGCTGGTGAGTATTACAAAACAGGCAACAGCGAAAACACTCTCTAAAATTATATACGGATTATTGCTCGCGCAAATGCCGGCGACATCGACATCTAAGAGCCTCTGTTTTCCTCGATCATCGCAAAACAATTGTGCGACATCAGGAATACGCTGGTGAAACGCTTGCACAGCGCGCAGCATACGCTCACCGCTACAGTCGCACTTCCACGGGTTCTCAGCGAGATATAATTGCTTCAGTGTTGAGTTTTTATTAAGGTATACAAACAGAAAATCATCTCGCAAGCCTATTAAGCGATTGTTGCGCACATCTAACACAGTCAAATTGGGCGGAAGTTGGGAGGAAAGAATTTCAGCGATTTGATTATAGGAGGCGTTCAGATACGTCACATTCGCATAACCGAGAGTAGTGTTCGATGGAAGCTCATAAAAACGATTGTGGCTAATAGAAAGCATTGAATTTCCAATTCCCGAAAACTGCTCTGGGCGAGGTAACTGAGAAATCGCCTCAAGCTCTGCACCAGTACAATTGATTAGAAGAATTGCGGTTTCGATGGAACAAATACATTTGCCGGGACACAAAGCTGGTTGCCAGTCACAGAATGCCACTTTCTTACTACACTCTGGCAATGTAACGTTGGAGCGATAGTTGTTGTTGTAAACCCAAGCTAATTGACAATCGCAGACAAGAGGATTTCCTTCCAATAAAATTTCTTCGTTGCAGGCTGCTGCATTACTCAGTAGGCGCGGCGTCAGCGCGTAAACGTGTTTAATTAAATTGAAACGCAAATCAATTGTGAATGGGCAAGACAAGCCTGCATCAGTAATCCAGTCCATATCAAAGTGGGATATATTGTTTAACGATAGATTAATTGAGGTGTATTTGCGTTTTTCCAACCTTCTCTTTATTGAAAATAATTCGAAAATATACTTAAAATTTTCAACCGGAAGCTGTGAAATGCTGGCATCACTGTGGGAAAAGCTCGATAGTATAGTTTCATTTGAGTAGTCGCCAGAGCCCTTCATGGTTCGCAAGTGATTAAAACTCAAGTCTAGCTCGTACAAATATCGCAATGATCTAATATTAACTATAATATTCGAGGAAATTCTCAAGCGATTCCTCTGTAAAAACAATTTCGAAAGCATGGATGTATGGTTAAAAAGCCCCGCCGGCAAGCACTCCAAAAAATTGTGGCTAAGATCTAGAACTGTCAGTTTGTGTTGTGCCGCTAATAAATCGGCCGGCAACAATGCCAATTCGTTCGAACGCAAATTTAAATAAGTCAATTTCGAAAGTGTTGAGAAAACATCGTTGAACAACTTTCTCAAGTTATTCTTAGTTAAATCAAGATGCTTCAGTGAAAGTAAATTTCTAAAATGAATGCGCGTAATATTATTACAATATTCGTCGGGTGGATCAAATATGCTGAGCTTAAGCGACTCCAAATTCGGCAGCGTCTGAAATAATTCCGTAGGCATAGTAAAGTCTTCGGTAGGCTCTTGATAAAATAAGATTAAGACTTTCAGTTGTGTTAGATTGAGGAAAAGTTGCGCAGGTAAGCTAGCAACAGGGTAGTCAAGGGTCAACTCTAATTTTTGCAGACCACTTGATTTTCGAAAAAAATTCGCTGGTATGCTCGGCTCATCGAATGCAATAGAGCCTTTATTAATAATGTTCTTATCGCTTAGGAAATCCGGTACCTCCAAGCAATTCGTCAATTCGAATTTGCTAACTTTACTTAATTCCAAAAATGGCATCTGCCCTAGCAAATTAATATTGCTGGGTTGTGAAATACACCGTATTTGTAAGTAAAATTCATAGTCCACTTCTCTGTGGTAAGCAACTAGCACATTATCTCCGAGCATTACACATTTAACACTAGTCTCACTGCAGCGGCATATTCCCAAGTTTGTATTGTAGCAAATTTTTCCATAGTAATAGCTTTGTGGCACAAGTGATGTGCTTAGAACGTGTCGGTAGTGGATAATTAAGAAAATTTGACTTAAAATATGAACGCGGTGTATGGGTATAAGTAAAAACTTATTTGACCTTATTTCATCTTTAACTAAAAACTGCATTTCTAACAGACACTTGTCTAATTTTTCTATGGTGTAAAATTTTCAGTTTTTCTTAAGTTGTATGTTGCTTTTGATATTTCACGCTACACACTTCTATTGATACTAAATATAATCCAATGTTTTCAAAGTCGTGTGCCTTCAAAGTGGAAAGCCGTGTATGTGAATACGTCTGTGTTCCGTTACAAAAAGATGCGATTTAACCCTACTAGAGTGATAAGCAAACTTACAACCACAAACATTGATAAATAAGAGACTTATGTACATAGAACAAGAACAGAATGAATGAAGCCTTCATTCCGTAATCACAATTTAATATGAAACAATTTCGATTTCATTTAGCGAAAATTGCAAAACATCAAGTGCCAATACACTGTTAATAAACAAAAAAACAAAGAACACGATTCAAATAATCAAAATACTGTGTAACTTACATCAATACATACTTGAATCAGCGCTGTACTAAACAAATCACCTAATATCTCTAAAGGGGTAATTGATTGATATAATTTGCGCGAAATAGGCGAATTAGTAGCGGCTTTTTCACACAATTCAGCAGTTTTACTAAAATGGTTGTCAGCACAAGAGGCCTGACATGAATCCACTCTAAAAATACTACAAGTGTCAAGAAGCACGCACCTCACGGGAGGACGATACATTCATTGACTTGAGCTGGAAGTCGTCAACGCGTACATACGATTTACATACAAAGTGTCCAGCTGAATGCCGCCAAATAAAATGCGCTACTATCAGGCGGTAATCGCGTAGTGCTAGGAGACTTCAACGCGCACAACGAACTCAGCCACTGCAATCTGGGCAATGATTAGCCGAGTATACAGCTTGCATAGCCAATTAATAGCTCGAAAGTACCACCACCAGAGTATCTCGCCAAATATTACCACAGCTAGCAGGGCGACTGATAAATTGCGTTAAACGGAAACTGGAAGTGCAAACGTTGGAATCAGGCCATGTGCCGTAGCAATCATTTCTAACGAACCCTACAACAAAGCTCGGAAGATTGACTGCAACGGTTTTTTGGAATACACCGACCGCAAGTTCAATACTCTTCCACTAACATTATGCGTGCGCGTAGCTGAGCGTAATATCCATAGGATCATAACCGCAGCAGCCGCCTGCTTCATACCAGCCAGCAGATTCGCCAAGACCAAGGATGAGCACCTTCAGACCTGCGACATCTACAGTGAAGCAAGCAAACTGCAGACAATAGTTAAGTCTCTCTACTGTCAAAGCGGTTTGGACCAAACTAAATTGCCTTGCGGATACTGTAAGAACTAGGACCTGCTGGAGTGGAGTACATCATCGCCTCTTTAAAATTGTCTCTGTCCACCTTGATCATCTCCGAGTTGTGGAAAATAGGTAAGGAGCATTTATTCCCCATGACATCTTTTCCGCAAAATACTTCCGTAAAAAAAATTATAAAAATTAAATAAACATAAGAAAAATAGCCAAAACTGGGTAAAATATTTCATCCCTATTTATATTTTCACCACCGTAAGTATTAATTGATACGATAACTATATCAAATTCTTGTTTTTTTTATTTTTTGGGACTTTCGGGATTTTCAGGACTTTAACTGGCTTCTTTCGAGACTGTTAGGAATTTTTTGGAGAATTCTCTAGATTTTTGACGAAATTTTAGATGCAGAATTACATTTATTGGTTAACTTTGATTTTTGCGATATTTTCCACTCAAAAAATCTTTTTTTTTCCTTTTTGTTATAAAATATATTCGATGCTTTTTATGGGAGGCACTTCTTGATAGAAAGAACCGGATCAGTATCGAGGGGAGTTTATTTGGCATCAACTAGTCCCAGCTAATTCCTTATGGAAACAGTTTGGGGTCAATTACTTCTCGACTCATTACATATTAGATAGAGAATTCGCCTAGCAAACCTGACTGCCGTTCATGCCTGTTTAGGTTTAAAGAGATAGAATTACTGGAACTAAAGAGGAAAACTTATACCACATACGTATGGGATCAATACTGGTATTACTAGTATATTCCTTTGCAGCTATCCTGAACTAGAAGCATTTCCTGCAGGGATTGCACTGGCGGACGGTCGACGCACTTAACTCCCCCAACACGAAGCAGTCGAAAAGAAAACTATCGACATACCTACATATGTATGTACATATCGTCGTTTAAAGTACAAAACCGTCATTCTGCAAAATCGCGTAACTGACATTTGCTGCCGAAAATTGGATTTGCTCACACAAACTCTTGGCTCAATCCTTATCCATTCGTCCTGAAATATACTAGCTAGAAATGCGATTGCTTCATAAAAAAGAGAACCTTTTTGAAATAGGAGTGTTTTTACTCTCTAGAAAATAATTTATGCAAACTCACATACGCGGTTTTGCATTTTGTTGATACGCGGTTTTGAACTTTAAACGATGATATGCACATACAAACACTTTAGTGGGCTTAAGACGCTTGCAAGAATCCATTTGCAATGTCAATGTAGTAGCCCTAATAAAAGTCACTTACTTTGAGTCGTATTAATTTATGCAGAGGAGACAAAGAACTGGATGGAGAGCAGGGATGCCAACTGGGACAGAATACCCCGATTTTGGTGAAGGCAAATCACTACGTTTAGGTTATATTAATTCAATTAAGATTGTATCAACACTAATATATATTTATGTTTATTTTTTTTTACTAAGGAAGAGAATCAAGTGCCTTAAATAACGAAAAGAACGCATTGGAGGAACACCGTTAACAAGTGGGGAATTTTTTTCAGAAATTTGGCGAATTGGCATTGACAAAGTTGGCATCGCTGATGAAGAACCAACAACTGCACTGCAGAAAACTTATCAGCACTGTTGCAAACGGAGAAGCACCGAAAATGACAGAAATGCCAATAATGAGCGGTGCTTAAAGGACAGGAAAAGTTTTGCATTTAAGTTTTTTTGTAATGACTTTTTTAATGCTTACAGCCACTTCGGAGGGAAATGAAGACTCGCCTTGAAGCGAAAGAAAATGTTATTTAAAAGTGTAATAAGTGAAAATGCTGCTTGTGTACGTATGTACATAAATAAAACAAGGATTCGTTCAAAATGCAAAATAAGCAAATTTGCAGCGGAAAAATAGCAGTTAAGTTAGGAAAAACGAAACTGTAGTTTTTCAGTTTATATACTTATGTACGCATTGTTTGTCCATTGTTCCTTAAAATGGGTCCATTCAAAGTACAAGAATTTGTATGTGTTTCAAACGAATGTTTTGTTATGGGTAAAACTAGTCACAATTCAAAAGATGCCATGAGAAATTTTTATTTAATTAGTTAGTCTTTGGAATCTTAGATACACACATCTCTCACTGCTTCTGCTATTAATTTTTCAAACAAAAAATATTTTCAGCCTGATTTCTTACTTTTCAAAGTTGTAAGAGCCAATTAAAATACATAGGGTGGTCCAAAAATGCACGTGAAAAAAGTAGAGTTCGAAATTTAATTCTCCACCCCATAGGATTGTTATACCTATATAGAAAAAAAACATACCCCTGTTTTTTTTTTGTTTTTTTCATGTACTTTATAT